TCGAGTTCCGGACTTGGTGGCCTTCCTTTCTCACTTTCCCTCTCTCTTGCACTGTCCCTCTCTGGTCAAATTTAAATAAATAAATAAATAAATAAAGTTAAATAAAATAATTATTTTAAAAAATGAATAAAAAATAGTAAAATAGGGAACCAGCAGTTAGCGTAATGGCTATGTCGCTGGACTCCCACGTAGTCGACCGCGGTTCGCATCCCAGACCCGGTGGCTTAAAACTCACGCCGGGCGCGTGTGCGTACGTGCCCAAGATCCCGAGAGGAGAATGGAGGAGAAGGGATTGCGGCGTGACCATCCCCCCTGGGGGGTGATTTCTCGCTTTCTGTCTCTATGTCTCTCTCTGTCTGTCTGGCGAGCGCACGCGCCCTATAGCGAAAAAAAAACCTCTCCAAAAAAAAAAAATAGTAAAATATAAAACACCACCAATGTTATGCTTTAAATTCCAATTGTGGATTTAGATTGGTCAGTTTTTCACTTGATCAAACTGAGTTGCTGGATTCATTCAGATCATTTATACCTGTGAAAACATTGTTCAAATATCTCTAATAGGGCTTTGTATCTAGCTTAAATGCATGACAACGTGTCCAGTGCCCTTAACCACCATACCACCTGCCAGCTCCTGCATGTGGACTCTTGATGTGCAAATATGTCTCCAAGACACCTCTGTAGGAGAAGAATCTATCCTCCAATGTGGTGATGGATGCAGAAAATGCTATGAGAACCCATTTTCCAAACATGGCTATTTCTGTCAAGATTAAGCAACTCATAAGGAAATTTTTTTCCCTTCCCATTTTGGGGGCCATATTTTGAAAAGAAACCCACATGAAATACAAATGGTTAGTCAATTTGCTCAGAATTGTTTAGCTACCTCCTTCCTAAATCCTCTTTCCCATTTTCATAAAAAACTAGCTGGGGGCCAGCAGGTGGCATAGTGGTTAAGGTGTTGGACTCCCAACATGGCTTACCATAGTTCCAGGCTTCAAAATCATGCTGGGCTCATGCCAGACGGATGTGTGTGCGTGCATGCCCAAAATCCCGAGAGGAGAATGTAGAAGGGATTGCAGCATGACCATCCTCCTAGGGCACGATTTCTTACTTCCTCTATCTCTGTCTCTCCCATGAGCCCACATACCCTATAGCAAAAATCTAAAAAACATAATACATACATATACATACATACAAACTAGCCATGAGTTATACTGGAGCTTTTGTTCTCAGCCATACACTTAATTGATCTAAACTAGGAATTGAAACAATGGTAGTAAAAAGATTAAAAAGTTGTAACAGTGGCAAGCTGTGCTTTCTTTCTTTGGATGATCTTTGCTTTCATACTGATTTTCTTGTTTTTTTTTTTTTTTTTTTTTTTTTTTTAGTGGGTTTCGCGCGTGTGCTCTACAGACAGAGAGAGACATAGAGACAGAAAGCGAGAAATCACCCCCTAGGGGGGATAGTCATGCCGCAATCCCTTCTCCTCCATTCTCCTCTCGGGATCTTGGGCACGCATGCACACGCGCCCGACGAGAGTTCTAACCACCGGGTCCGGGATGTGACCCGCGTTTGACTACGTGGGAGTCCAGCAACATAGCCATTACGCTAACTGCTGGTTCCCCTGATTTTCTTATTTTTTATTGCCAGAGTGTGTATGTGCTGAGGCAGGGAAGGGAGAAAGCATCCCCCAATAAGGCATGGTCACACCACAGTTCTTTCTCCATTTCTGCATCCTGTCAGGATTTTGGGCCACATTGGCCCACGTTTTTCAAGTTGCCAGGGCCTGAACTCAAACCACACTTGGCTATGTGGTTTCTGATCTCTTTTTAAAAAATAATTATTTATTATCACTCTTTTACTATTTGACCATAGACAGATCAAGTGAGAAACCAAGTTGCCACATCCATGACTCAGACCACAGTTGGCCATGTGAGAGTCCAGACCTTTAACCACTGCGCCACCTGCTCACCCTGGGATCTGCTCCCCTTAATCACTAGGCCATAGGTTGGTCCTATACTAATTTTACTTTTCATTGCCAGAGGGTCTGTGTGCTTGCCAGAGACAGAGAAAAGAAAAACCACCCCTCCCAGTGGGGCACAGTCATGCCGCAATCCTTTCTGTATCATTACTCCATCCTGTCAGGACCTTGGGCGTGCAGGCCTATGCACCCAGTATACTTCCCAAACTGCTGGGACAGGGATTCAAACCTTGATTGGTTACGTGGGATCCAGCCCCCTTAACCACTGGGCTAGGGGGTCCTGTCCTATACTAGTTTTATTTGTATCATTTACTTATGTATTCTGGTCCTGTACTTTTATTTGAAATTTTTTTCCTATATGTTGTGTGCGCTCACCACAGAAACAGAGACAGAAAGTGAGAAATTACCTCTCTCCCCCGCCCGGGAGGGATGGCAATGCCGCAATCCCTTTTCCTCCATTCTACTCTCAGGATTTTGGGCACCCAAGTACACACACCCAGTATGAGTTTTAAGCCTCCAGGTCCAGGACTCAGAAGTGCAATCGACTATGTGGGAGTCCAACAACATAACCATTACACCACCTGCTGGTCCCAATTTATTTATTTCTAAGATATGTTTTTGCTAGAGGCTATGTGCACCCACCACAGAGACAGAGTGACGAGACATCACCCACCGGAGGGATGGCCACACTGAAATTCCTTTTCCTCCATTCTCCTCTCAGGATTTTGGGCACCCACACATGCATCTGGCATGAGTTCCAAGCCACCAGGTCTGGGACTCCAGTCACACTGGCTACATAGGAGTCCAGCACTTAACCACTACGCCCTGCTGGCCCCTACTAATTTTTTCCGTTTCTGTAACTTCTATGTCTCTACTCAACCAATACCAGCATGTAGACTGTTTTCAGAACTTTGGACTCACAACCTAATTGTAACTCAATACTTTTGTGTTTAGTTTGGTGTCACACTAGGGTCATATTTTGCCAGCTGATACCATTCCCTACAGTATACCACAAATCTTTTTGCTTTATCAATTTTCAGAATTCACATACAGGTACTCCTCACTTAATGATTGAATCCTGTTCCTATGACCATGTTATGAGAACTGGTCAATAAGCACAGAGCTTAAAGGTGAGTATCTTGTGGTGTGTTGTGGTGCCATAGGGTATTTTTCAATACATGTGACACCACCCTAGAATAATGTAATTCTATCCATACAAAAAACATACATTAGGTAAGTATTAGAAAGTGACAAGACACACCACAACACAGTAATACGTATCTGGCATAATCATTTATTTATTCTGAATACTACTATAGGTACACAATAAAGTACACGTTTATAAAAAGGAATGCGTAGTCTCATGTGATTATGAATGCTTTGTGTAGTGATTACTGATTGTGGAACGAGATAAAGGGGATTCCTGAGACTCACACAGACTGAGAAATGGGATTCCCAGTGTTGGAGACCTGATCCTAAGTCTTACCCAATGTTAAATAGGTTAAGTGAGGAGTGGCTATATTTGCGAACCCAGAGCTACACAGTTGTTTTTCCTAAATTTGAGGTAGGCAGGAAGTTGTCATACTGTTATGCCCCCTCTTCATTCCACAAAACACCATGGCTGGAGGAGCCAGCACGTGGTATGGTGGTTAAGGCATTCGACTCCTACATGGCCAATCGTAGTTCAAGTCCTAGACCTGGTTGCTTGCTTTCTCATTTTCTCTTTTTCTCTCTCTCTAGTAAGCACATGTGCACTACAGCAAAATTTTAAAAATTATATTAAAATTAATCTTAAAAAGCACATTATGTCTAGCATAATCATTTTTAATGAGTTTTGCAAATCCTAATCTATTTGATTCATGTTCCTAAGTAAATACTTTTTTTTTATAATTTTCTAATTTTGGTTTCAAATATAGGGGGAAAAAAGATGAGCATTTTTTTAAACTCAAAGATTAACTTTTTTTTCTTTGTATACTGAATTATGTAGTGTCTTGTATCTAAGAAACATGAAAACATTTATAGTGTGCCAACTTTTTTATCATTCAAAATCCTATAAACAGGACTGCATTTTGGACTATAGTACTCAAACATTAAGACTGCATCTTCTGAATCACCCCTTGTTAGTTTTTGAGTATCACTGTGTACAAAGCATTAATACAGAAGACAGGTAGAAAAAATATGGAGCAGGATTGGCAGAGAAAATACAAGATGTTCAATTAACTCCAGTTAAACAAACTTTTAATATACTATGTCCCAAATTTTTACATATTAAAATACTGTTTATCTAAAATTCAAAATTTAACTGTGTCCTGTATTTTTATTTTTTTAAGAATTATTTTATCTAACTTTACATTTTAATTTGACCAGAGGAGGAGAGGGAGGGAGAAAGGGAAAGTGAGAAAGCAAGCCGCCAGGTCCAGGACTCAAACCGCGCGGTTGGCCATGTGGAAGTTCAGTGCCCTTAATCACCACGCTTCCCAATAAAAACCTGCCAGCCCCTGTGTCCTGTATTTTTAACTGTCAAATCTGCAACCCTTTGTAGAAAATCCTTATCTTTAGTAAACTAATTATTTAATAGGGAAATTAATAGACAATCATAGTAGAAGGCATATATGACAAAAGCAGTCATACAACCAAGCAGGGGAGAAAAAAACCTCTCCACTAACTTCAATAGAACAGTTCCTGGAAGAGATGACATTGAGGCACTTAAGATGACTAACTTTGGTCATCTTAAGTGGTAAACAGGTGGTTTAATGTGATGATTTGGAGTTCAAGTGTCCTGAATTAAATTCCAAATTCACCACTCATTCACTGTGTAACCTGAACAAGTCACTCAAGTTCTTTTTTTATAAAATAAGGATACTAATACCTATCTTATTAGATTATTTAAGAATCAGAAATACACACAAAACATCTAGAACAAAGGAGGCACTCTCCAAATGGTAACAATTATTACAACCAAAAATGTCATAAAGAGGGAACTTGTCACAAATACTTAAATGTTAATGTTATAGAATAACAGTAATATTGAATAAGTAATTTTATTTCCATGATCTATTTACACTGTACAAACACTGTTGCAAAGCACCCTACAAGTTCACAGTACATTACAATATATTTACTTTGAAAATATTCCTTTATAAAAGGTTCTTGAACACTGGCATGTTAACATGTGACGAAATTCTCAAAGCATGTCACGAAGTCTGTGATACCAAGAATGCTTCCAAGTGTGTCAATTTCACAATCACAAGTCACCATTTGAGTTTTAAATACATACACATTTTAAATTAAAAAAGGATTCTACAGTGGAAAGTTCTTGAGGCAACGCTTATTAGTTCATTAACGTACTTTCACAGAGATGATGTGTCATAATAATCCACAATATCACCTTAATCCACCCAAACATTTCAACAGTATAGCAGTCCAGAAATTTCTGTCATTTGTTGTTTTCTACTTCTTCTTCTTTGCTGGTTCTCCTGGTTCTACCTTGCGCTTTTTAGAAGTATGCTCATCTTTTTCATCATCTTTAAATGGAAAAGTTTCAATCAGTAATTTGAAAAAACAAGTTAAGCATTAAAATTTCACTGGTTTTATGCCAAAATCATCACTCTGGTTAAGCTAATGTTTTTTTTTCCCCCCAGAGCTTCTCAAGAAAAGCCAAAAATGAACTTTCAGAACTCTGTTTTTAAATTGCAAGTGAAAATAAGCAATTTTTTCCAACTGCAGTGATACATAATTTACAAAGTGAACTTTTAGTGTTTGCACTATTAGGGCAGTTTAAAGTGATTATATTTCCATGAAAATCAGTTATTTAGGCTAGGCAGGCGTCACGGTGGTTAAAGTGGATAGATCCCACATGGCTGACTGCATTTTGAGTCTTGACCTGGTAGTTGGTAAAGCATGTTGAGTACGTGTGCACATGCCCAAAATCCTGAGGAGTGAAGGAAAAGGGACTGCCACATGGTCAACTCATGAGGGAGGTCCCTTCTCACTTCTCTCTAGCAAGTGCATATGCCCTATAGGAAACTTTGGGGGGTAGGGAGAGGTGGAGTGGGACCAACAGATGGAGTAATGGCTATGTTGCTGGACTCCCACATAGCTAACTGTGGTTCAAGTCCCAGACCTGGCAGCTTACAACTCACGGCACGCACATGTGTGTGTGTGCCCACCCCAAATTCTGAGAAGATAATGGAAAGAAGTGATTGTGGAATGGCCACCCTTCCTGGGGAATGATTTCTCGCTTTCTCTCTCTAGTAAGCGCACATGTCCTATAGCAAAACGTTCTCTCAAAATCAAAATACAAAGCAAAAAAAAAAAAACCAAAAAAAAAACATAAAAAAAATTGTTCTGAAAAAGCTGCTCCCAAATATTCTACAGTATATACACTGTATATATTTAAATACAGAAATATACTCTGTATGTTTTAACAATGGAGTATTTTTTTTTAAAATAAAGTTATCAGCCTAACCATGACATTATTTAAGTAGCTATCACCTGTCCTGTTCCTTCCTTCCATTTTTTTTTTTTCAAAGATTTTTACCAGGGGCCAGTAGGTAGTGTAGTGGTTAAGGCACTGGACTCCCATGTGGACAATTATGTTCAAGTCCTACCAGGTACACATGCTTGTGTGCCCAAAATCCCGAAAGGAGAATGAAGGGATTGTGGTGTGGCCATCCCCTATGGGGGATAATTTCTTGTCTTCTCTCATCTTTTTTGGCAAGTGCACACACCCCATGGCAAAAATCTCTTTCAAAAACAAAATGAAACAAAACATTTTGCCACAGGGCACATGCATTGGCCAGAGAGAGAGGGAAAGTGAAAATTCACCCCCCAGGGCAGATGGCCATGCACCCATACATGCCCAGTGTGTTTTTCAAGTTGCCAGGTCCAGGACTCAAACTGTGAATTTTTGGATACAGGGTCTTACCTACCATGCCACCTGCTGGCCCTCCTTTCTATTATCTTTATTATTTATTATATAATCTTTAAATAATCTTTATCATCTTTTATTTTAATTGACAGAGGAAGTGTGTGTGTGTGTGTTTGTGTGTGAGAGAGAGAGAGAGAGCACTTCCCAATGGGGTATGGTCATGCAGCAATTCTTTTTCCTACATTTCTCCATTCTGTCAGGATTTCAAGACCCTAGGGCCAGGATTCCAAGTATGGTCCACCATGTGGGATCTGGCAGGCCTGTTCCTTTCGACTGCTCTCTCCTCCAAAATCGATCTCTCATTCCCCATCTCATTTTCCACTCCTATTCCAAATTGTTACGTCTTAAGGTTTTTTTAAAAAGCACTCACAAGCAGATGTTTCATAGAACCTCCATTTTTCAATTTTGTCTTGTATGTTAGTTCTGCCCCATTCCCGTAAGTGGGTAAAACACTCTAAGGACAATATAAAAATATATTTCTTTATTCCTTCATTTTATGGAGAATTTGGAAAGAGGAAGGAGGTTAGAAAAGAATATTACATTAAAACAATGTTCAGGGCCAGCAGGTGGTGTGGAGGTTAAGGTACTGAATCTGGGAAGGGTGATTTCTCACTTTCCCTGTATCTATCTCTTTCTAGTGAGCACATGCACTCTATAGCAAACAAACAAACAAAACAACTAAAACAAAAAATAATGTCCTTTACAGCTTTCCAAAATATTATCAGTGAGTGTAGCCAAAAAAATTACCAATTAAAGATGTTGCCAAACATGAAAAAGTGGGCTTTTACTAGAAAAAAAAATCAATAAAATGCAGGGTAATACAGACTAGTTGCTAATTCTCATCTCCATAAATCAATGTGTGGTTTATTTTTATTTTTTAGTTTGCTATAGGGTGCATGTAGTTGACAAAGAGAGACAAAGAGAAAAAGAGAAATCATCCCGCAGGGCGGATAGCCACACAATTCCTCCTCCTCCATTCTTCTTGATTTTGGGCATGCACACACACACACCAGGTGTGATTTCTAAGCCACGTGTCGAATTTGAACCAGTCGGCCATGTGGAATCCAAAGGCTTTAACCTGTGTGCCACCTGCTGATCCAAATGTATGGTTTATTTTAAGAACTTCATATAAAGAGAAAAAATGACATGCAGATTTTATGACATATAAGATATAAAATTCTTTTGAGCACATTACTTAATTGTAGCTTTTGACTTTATGTTCTTGATCAACAGGTAAAGTTCAACAGGTACCATGTAGTTATCTATGAAATATTCTAGTAAAGGGGCCTTCATATTAAAAAATTAGGGGAACCACCAATATTTCAAATAAATTCTTTGAGGGAAATAAATTTAAAATTTTCAGCTTTCAATTCCTTTCTGCTGACTACACCATGCTCCTAATATCACATTTTCTCATACGGGCAATAATTAGAATCAACAGCAATCTTCATTTATTCTTTCAATACAGTATGGTGATGTTCTTCAAGTGCTTCATACAGCTCTATGAATTTGTACAGACAGTGGAAAATCAACCACTCACCTCAGAAATTTACAAACTAAAGTTTTAATCATTAATTTACCATGTACACACAAAAAAACCAGTTTTACAAATCAACTGATATGGTATATAGTTCAAACAAGGCAAGGTGTTTGTTTTTTACTTGGAGATTAATTATCAAGCTTGTCTTTTGAGATTTTCAGTAATGGTAATACAAAAATTGAAGGTACTAAGTATACTATTAATATATATTAAAAAGTAATCTTGAGACACTTGGGTTTTTTAATCTACCTCTTATTTCAAGTAAATACACCAAATAACAACAAAACCATTAACTACTGAGATTGAAATAAATAACTTCCTATCTATCAGTGATTTAAGCAGAAGAGCTAATGCCATCTAGTGTCATGAAAGGCATTACCTTGAAAATCAGGGCGGGGGGGAAAAAAACCAAACCTGAAAACGTCTGCAGGGAGTGCCTTAAAGTAGATAAATGTCTTTGTGTTTATGCTGCAGGGCATGAGAAAGCTCTAAAGACATAATCTACTGCTGGGCTTTTCAGATAGAAGCTGAGTGTTAACCAGAGAAGGCCAGGAGAGACTTATTTAGATGCTCCATTACTACAGTCAATATAGAAAGCACTCAGCTTTACCTCCTCTATAAAAGAATAAACACAGGGGCCTGCAGGTGGCGTGGTAGTTAAAGGTGCTGGAGTCCCTGACCTGGTGACTTGCTTTCTTGTCAAATTAAAATAATTTTTAAAAAGTTAAATAAAAATAATTCTTAAAAAAAAAAAATGAACGAGCACAGAATGGCTGGGAGCCTCGGCGATCTCCATCAGAGATACCTGGTCTGCCCGACCCTTGCTTTTCGCTGCCTGTCCTTTCTCAATTCACAGCCCCATCTCTCCATCACCAGGCTGCAGCAAATGTTCATTCACCAGCTTTACTGAGCTTTTTATTTATTTAAGATTTTTTTCATAGGGCACATGTACTTGCCAGAGAGGTAAAGTGAGAAATCACTCCCTAGGGAGATGGCCACACCACAATCCCTTCTTTATTCTCTCAGAATTTAGGCACATGCACCTGGTGTGCTTTTTATTTTTAAGCTGCCTAGTTCAGGACTCATACCATGGAGCCAGCTATGTGATGGCCAGTATTTTAGCAACCATGATTCCTGCTAGCCCTTTACTGAGCCTTTTTTACCTCTGCACCATACAGTATGACTATATGGTGAGGAAACAATTTTTCCTTTTTTTTCAGGAAAGGGGGAGTTGCCATAGGGTGCTTGCACTCACAGGAGAGACAGAGACAGTGAGAGGGAAAGTGAGAAATCACCTCCCGGGAGGTATGTCTACTCTGTACTCCCCTCTTTTCCATTCTCCTGGGATTTTGGGCATATAAGCACACACACTTGTCTTGAGTTTCAAGACACCGGTCCGAGACTCGAACTGTGGTCAGCATGCAGGAAGGAGTCCAGCAATGTAACCAATTATGCCATCTGTTGGCCCCACAATTTTTCTAGCCTAAGACTCAAGTCAGCAAGGTAAAGTTTAACTTATAAACTAACTTTCTAAATTTTAACAAAAGGAAAACCAAAACAAACAAGCAAAAAACCCCATGAGCTATTTTAATAAACAACTAATTACAAGTTGTTTTATTAAAAAATATATATATATTTACATACATACATACATACATACAGGGTGGGTCTTATTAAGTCACAATCCTCGATGCTCCTGCCTGAGCTTCATGAGTAGCTGGACCACAGGCTATGCCTGGCTCAACAGTTAACAACATGTTACTAGGAGTACATTAATGTCTGAGCCTTACTCACCTACACTGTACAAACACTAAGCTAGAAGTGCTCCCAAGTGGCAAGTTTCTCCTCTAAAAGTATATGCAAGAAGTAAGCTGGCAAGAAAGTCCAGAGTACAGAAAATGGGAAAGTGAAATAAAAACAAGTAACTTGACAATCTGAAAGATTCGATAATTTAAGAGCACAGCGTTTTTGATGCGTAACATCTCATTAACTGAAAAAAAAACAACACGTCAAAAAAAGATTAGGGAAACTGATTTTACAGAGACTTTGTGAACATGGTATGAGAGTTTGAGATGAAAAGACTTCTAAAAAGGAAGTTATTTATTACCAAAAGAATTATAGTCCAGAGCCAACAAAGTCAAAACTGAAGATGGCAGAATTATCTTTTAATCTTTCCTATTTTTTTTTGATGAGGTGCGTGTACTCCCCTAAGAGGGGAGAAGAGAAAGCACCCCTGTGTGGAGAACGATCACACTGCAATCCCTTGTCCTCCATTTCTCCCATTTGGGATCGTATGCACATACCCAGTATGTTTCTCAAGCCACTGGGTCTGGAACTCGAATAGCAAGGCCAACCAGGTGGGATCTAGCTGCCTTAACTAGGGGATCATGAAGCTGATCCTATCTTTTAATTTTCTGATCCACCTTAAAGCCATTGGAGCTTTGGATTTTTATTTTTGTTTTCGTTTTTTTTTTTTTTTGTAACTGCCTATATTCACTTTCTGATAACTATCATGTGATCAGAAGGAAAAAAAATCATCTGTGGGAATATAGCAGTGCTATTTGTCACATATTTTAAACTACTAACTGAACTGAAAAGCAAGAAAAAGGTACTTTTTCTTGTTTGCCCTAGTATATAATCCTGGCCTCCTCCATATAGGGATGACATGAGAGCATTTGCCTGCAGCAACCTAGTTTGAATATTGACTCTAGTCCCCTACAGTCATCCTTTATACAGGATAACTATTTCTCAAACACTGGCTTGGAAAAAATTAAGAGACCAAACCCTAATTACTACGGGCATAATTTTCATTTAAAGGGCTAAATTTGAATCTGTTTTTTTTTGCTGTTTGGACAAATTCCTTTTTCCTTAATTAATTTGTCAGAGCACATATGACTTGATGACAGGGATGGGGCAGGGTGAGAAAGGACACCCTGCACCCTAAGCCTCAGGGGGAATTGTCATGCTGCAATCCCTCCTTTCTCCTCCTCCTTTTGGGATTTTGGACACACATGTATATGTGCCTGGTATGTTTTTCTTTTTTTTTTAATAATTATTTTATTTTTATTTATTCATTCTTTTTTTTTTTTTTTTTTTTTTTTTCACTTTTTGACCAGAGAGAGACAGAGGTTGAGAGTGAGAGAGAGAGGAAGTGAGAAAGCAAGCCACCAGATTAAGGACTTGAACCCTGGTCGGCCATGTGGGAGTGTTCAGCGCCCTAATTACCACGCCACCTGCTGGTCCCTCTTTTTCTTTTATTTGTTATCATTATTTTTTCTAATTTGACCAGAGAGAGACAGAGAGGGAAAGTGAGAAAGTAAGCTGCCAGGTCTGGGACTTAAACCATGGTCAGCCATGTGGGAGTCCAGCACCTTAACCCAGATGTCACCTGCCAGCCCCTGCCTGGTGTGTTTTTCAAGCATTGGTCTGGGACTCAAACTTCATAGCCAGCCATATGGGATCCAACTGCCTTAACCACCATGGTATTAGCTGCCCTGAGCCATTTCTTTAATCTGAGACTTTTCTTATCTGTAAGACTGTAACAATGAATCATATACTACTTCTGTATCAGGTTGCTAAGAGTAATAAAGTAGAAAACTTTTTAGTAAAAGTACCTATTTTAGAGCTGGGTTTTGTCCAATTTTGTGACCTTTGACAAGTCATGTAAGCTCTCATTTCCACACTTCCCCAACTGGTTTCTTAAGATATTGTTAAGGATTAAAGATTATTTGTGTAAAAGTATTTTTGTTAACTATATAAATTACACAATATGAAATTTTACTCATTTCATTTAACATCCCCCAGAATAAGCCATTTACCTAAGATAAGGCTTCATTAGAGATTTTTTTTTTTAATGTTTATCTATCCATTTCTTCTACCAGTGAAAAAATGAGAGGAGAGGCAGCACCCTCAATAGGGTCTTGACACTGCAATCCATACCTAGCCTTCAGCCAGCCTTGGGTCACAGACTAGCATGTCCAGCATACTTGAGGACGACTCCAGACTAACCAGGGACCCTCCCCTCCCATGTGGCACGGCCTCACAGAGAACTGGCACTTTATCACCATGTCACCTCTCATTAGTAGGACTTCTAATACACACTGCAAAATCATCAAAAGAAATGTAAAAGCTAGGCAGAATCAAAACTGTACTAAGAACGCCTGTGGTTATTCTTCTCGTAAAACAAAACATAACCTGGGGCTGAATGATGACATAGCAGTAAAGTGAGACACTTTATGGAATAAAACATGTCATAAGGGGAAAAGAAGAGTGAGATACTCTTCAGGCTGATCCATGTGAGGGGTCTTAGACTTGCATCCAGAGACCTGCCTGAGGAGAGCAGGCACATAGGTGCCCATGATCTGAGGCTGGCTGAAGCTGGAGGTTGACAGCACCAGCAAGACCTACTAGAGGTTTGCTCTCTCTTGATAAATAAACTTAAGGAAAGAATAAGACCCATAGAAGATATTGTCTCTTTCTTTGTCATGGAAGAAGTAAACAGACCCCATAGAAGATGCTGTCTCTTTCTCTGTCTTGGAAGAAGTAAACAAACTTAAAAAAAATCAAGACCCAAAATACAAGTCTCTGTATGACTATAAAAGGTACAAAGTAAGCAGCTCTTGTACTGTGGGAAGATCAGATGTCTGTTTAACAAAAAGGGAACACCCCTTCTTAAAAATGACTGTCCAGGGGAACAACAGATGGAATAATGGCTATGTCACTGGACTCCCATGTAGTCAACCACAGTTCAAGTCCTGGACCTGGTGGCTTAAACTCATGCTGGGTGTGTGTGCATGCGTGCGTGCCCAGGATTCCGAGAGGAGAATGGAGGAGAAGAAACTGCGGTGTGACTGTCCCCTCCCCCTCCCCCCGCCCAGGGTGATTTCTCACTTTCTGTTTCTCTGTCTCTGTCTTTCTGGCGAGCGCAGGTGCCCTATGGCAAAAACCTCTCCCCCAACCCATGCCAAAAGACAGTCCAAAATATTTAATTCAACAATTATCCACTAAATACTTAAAAGGTACTAGTAACTATGCTAGAAACAGAAAGATGAGGATATAGCTGTTTGAGGAACTTATTTTCATAAAGGAAACAGATATGTGAAAAATAATCACATACAAGTGATAACTGCAATCAATACCATGAACATATATAAGAAATATAGGAATAAATAGTGAGAAGTATTATTTAACATTTCTTTCCTTCTCTGAGTTGCCATGGGAAAACTCTGGAATACTGAAGGATAAATGAGTTTGCCAGTCAAAGGAGGAGGAAAGAACATTCTAGACTAAGGTACAACACACAGTAAAAGGCAGGGGACCATAAAACAGCATGATCAATTCAGTTCCGCATTTGAAGATCTCAGGGGCCATTCAAAATAACAATGGAAAGAGAGCTGAGGCCTATCACAGAATGTCCTGATCTATACTGTTTGTAGACAAATTACGTAATCACACATGACTTTTTGAAAGTAAACACAGTGTGAAGGATGCAATTGAGGGTGTAAGGTGTAGAGGCAGACACTACTGTAACAGTCCAAGTAAGAGATGAAATTATAATATTAAGAACAAAGGTGAGAAGTTAAAGTCATTATCTTCCTAAATTTAATTTTGTCACACTAATTTTAGTTCTGAAGTACTTCTGTAATATAAAATGAAGCATTCAGCACTTCACAGCTGCAATCACAAGAACACATGAATTAATTCATGCCATTCTAATAATAAACCACATAGACTTCTGGTTGAAATATCAGAGATTTCACTTTAAAGCCTAAATAATTTATGATCTTTCACTAAAACGCAGCATATGCACTACTGGTTGAGATACCAGACCACTTTAAAGTCAAATTTTATGATCTTTCTCAAAAAACAAAGCAAGTAATATCCAAACACCCACCATCATAATCCCTGCCAATTCACTAGGTTTAAATGTCATTCATTAAATATTCATCCTTTTTTTTTTTTTTTTGAGGTTTTTGCTATGGGTGCCTGCGTTCACCAGACAGAGACAGAAAGTGAGAAATTACCCCCTGGGGGGATGGCCACGCCGCAATCCCTTCTCCTTCATTCTCCTCTTAGGATCTTGGCACACGCACACGTGCCCGGCGTGAGTTTTAAGGCACCGGGTCTGGGATGTGAACCGTGGTCGACTACATGGGAGTCCAGCGACATAGCCATTATGCTAACTGCTGATCCCAAACAATCCTTTCTAAGCCCAACACAGGGACCAGAAGATACTACCTCTGGAGTCAGACCCTCCTTACCAGATTCCAATGTCTCCTCTCCTTCTGGTAGAAGTCTAGCTTTCTTAGCATTCTGTGGGGCATCATCACCATTGTCCTCATATATGTTAGACCATTTTATTGCCATATCCAGTTCTGGAGGTGGAGGCTTCTTCTCTGTAGTGTAGGTTTCTGGAGGTGGCACATAGTTTGACTTCCATATTTTGAATTCCTTTGGAGGCTGTTAAGCAAGCACACGAAGAGGCACTGTGAGGAACCGGGTTCCTACGTTCTACATGAGCACATGCACCTCCCTGCCGCTTGCTTATCGTTCAGGCTGACTTTTTCTTTTTCTTTTTTTTTTTTTTTTTAAGATTTAAAAATACATTTTTTTTTCCATCAAAATCACAATACGGTTAAGTGAAAAGCCAAAGGGTTCCCTGTATGAATAAAGCTCATAACTTTTAGTTACCAAAGAAGAATCCAGTCTCAGACACTACGCCAAGGCTGACCCCTTCAGGAGGCTGCAGCAGACACTGTCTTGGAGGCAGCACCGCAGGCACTTCGGCGTCAAAGGGAAGGGGTCTCGGGGAGAAGCTGCAGCGAGGGGGCGGGGGAGTCACCACCGTTAGTCCTGGCCGCGCGGGGTCGGGGCACCGAGCGCGGAGGTTCGGGTCTCCTCACATGGGGGTGGGGCTGCGGGTCCTGCTAGACACCCACCGAGCTGGGGGAGGGGGCCCGGCTCCCCGGGGCTGGAGGGGCGAGGGGCGAAGCGGCATACCGCGGGGCTGGCTGAGCGGACAGCAGGCCCCGAGAGGGCGCTGAGGAGGAAGGGGGCGGAGGCCCGGGCCAAGACCGGGAGGCGGGTCGGGGGCCTCACCTCCTCCGGCGCCTTGACTACGTGCCTCTCCCAGTCTATCTGCTTGTTGAGCGGATTGTAGAGGAAGGCCGGGCGAGTCACGCTCCGGAACAGCTCATCGGGTCCCGGCAGCCGCTTCTCCGCCTTGTGCCCGCAGCCACCCGACGACTTGG